GGCCTAGACCCTTCTTCAGAAGAAGGGTCTAGGCCCAAAACGTCAGCTTTCCTGCTCCTCTGATGCTGCTTGGCCTGCTGTGTTCATCCAGCTCTACACCTTGTTATCTCAGATTCTCCAGCACCTGCACTTCCTACTATCCCAGAATTATATGTTCTGTGATTCTAACCCCGCTATGCCATTAGCTTGCCTTGTGAGCCAAACTTTAAAAAAATGCACACACAATAAGTACAATAACAGGCACTAAGTCCAACTGAACCTTCTGCCATCCTTCTTCATCTGATTCTTAGCATCACCCACCATTCACTTTTCCCTCATTTGCTTATCTGGCTTCCCCTTGTGTATATATATATTTACTATGTGCCTCAACCATTCCCTGTGATAGAATGTTCCTCATTCTCACTCCTATCTGGGTAAAAATGTATCTTTCAAGTTCTCTATTTGATGTCTTGTGACATCTTGTGTTGAAGGCTTACAGCTTTGCTATCTTCTGTAACTATTCTATTAAATTTCTCATAGTTTTGGAAAATTATTTGATGTCATCCTTCAAACATCTCTTTAAGAGAAAGTCACCCAGCTTTTTCATTTCTTCCTGATGTGAAACTGCACATGTAGGGGACTATCTTGTAAATCATTTTTGCAGCCTCTTCAATATCTCCTTTTCTTTCTTTGACATGGTGACCAGAAGAGTGCACCATTCTGGCAAATATAGTCTGTATAAGGTATAATACAAGTTTAACATAACGTTCCTACTTTAGAGTTCTCGCCCTCCAGAAATGAACCATGATGGCTTGATTTGACTTACAAAATCTTTTGTTATTGTTCATAGGATATGGGCATTGCTGGCTAGCCAGCATTTATTGTCCATTTTAATTTTCCGTGAGAAGTGAGTAGTGAGCTGCTTTGTGAACTGCTGCAGTCGCAATCATATGTTCTTTTGCGAAAAGTACATTGGCAGTCTTGTGTGAATATGTTCAATGACTGACCACCATAGTAACCAAATAACAAAAATGAAACTTATGTGCTGTGTGTACTTTGCACCAGTCTTCACAGTGGAGGAGATAAATCTAATTGCTATCACTAGAGAAAACATAAAAAAGAAACAAATGGAACTGATGGCCAATAAGTCCCCTAGACCTGATGAGATGCACCCTGGGATATTCAAAGTACCTACACAAATAATGAATGCACTGAGCATCATCTTCCAAAGATGCCTTAGACTCTCAAAGTCCCAGAGGATTGGAAAAGTTCCATCTTTATTTAGAAAGGAGAGACAAAACAAAAGGCAGTTGTAGGCCAGTTGGCTTAATATTTGTTGTTGGAAAAGTGTTAGATTCCATTATGAAGGATATAATAGCAGACTGTTTAGAAATACTTAACATGCTCTGATGGAATGATGGCAATTTTACCTTTGGAGATCGGTTAGCTTAGTTTCCTGGTTTCTGATGCAGAGAGATGCCAACACTGCGAGTTCAAATCCCACACTATGTGAGGTGTGTCTCTCATGAAGGACTCTCCTCAGCCTTCCCCCTTCACCTGAGGTGTGATGACCCTTGGGTTAAAACAGCAGTTAGTGAAAGAGTAGCCCTATGTCTGGTAAGACAATGGCACTTTTTCCTTTTGTAATCTTCCAAAACTTCCTAGTCAGTGAATGTGTGTCATCCACAAACTTGTTGACTCTAAAAATAGGTTGGATGGCAAGTGGTGAGGGTGACACAAAGTCTACAGAGGGATAGAGTCAGGTTAAGTGAGTAGGGAAAAACTTACAAGATAGAATATAATACGGAAATATGTAAGGCAAGAAGAATAGAAGAGCTGAATATTATTTAACTGGAGAAAAACTGCAGAAAGCTGCAGGACAGAGGGATTTGGAGTTCTCATGCAATAATCACAAAATGCTAGCATCTGAGTTCAGCTGGCAATCAGGAAGGCAAATGGAATGTTGTCTAAAACTATACAATGCACAAATTGGTCCACATCTTTGATATTGGCATTAGTTTGGTCCCCTTATCCAAGGAGAGATGTACTGGCACTGGAAGCAGTCCAGAGAATATTCGCTAAATTGATCGCTAGTGTGAAGGGATTTTCTTCTCAGGATAGGTTGAGAAGGCTGGGCTTGCATTAATTTGAGAATGAGAGAATGAAAGTTTTTTTTAGAGGGCTTGACAGAGTAGATGCAGAGATATTGTTTCCATTTGTGGGAAATCTAGGACCAGAGGGCATAATCTAAGATGAAGAAGTCACCCATTTAAAACAGAGACATGGAGAATTTTTTTTCTGAGCCTGGTGAATTTGTACAATTCTTTACAGCAGAGAGATCTTGAGGCTGGGTCATTAAATATGTTCAAGGCAGAGAAAGATCTTTAATCATTAAGGAAATTAAGGTTCATGGGGATAAGGCAGGAAAGTGGAGTAGAGGATTGTCATCAGACCAGCCATGATCCCATTGAATGGTATAATGATCCAATGGGCTGAATGGCCTCTTCTGTTCCTATCTCTTATGGTCTTAAAGTTTTCTGAAAATGATACTTTTTGTCTTCCCGTGATTTTATATGTTTGCAATGAATCTAGTTATGGTAAATAAAGAACATTTCTCCAGTTTAAATGGCAAGGCTGCATCATCCATTTTGGTCATTTTATATTTTATTAGCAATGTGTTGGGAGTTCATCGTTTTCTTTTGGCCCCTCCCTTTTACAACTATCCAGATTTCTGAATTTATCATTAAAAATGAAATGTACTAAAGGCAATCGAGCAGCTGGTAGTAGTTGCTCATAGTGTAAATATCTCAGCCTTTGCTTGTTATACTTGGGACCATTCCTCATTATTATGGATTATGCAAGTGTCATTCAAATGGTATTATGGCATATTCACTGTAAATTAACTTTACCTGTAAACTGTATCTACAAGGGCAATAGCTAAGTATTCCTTGAAATTGAAAGCAAAATCGCAACAGCAAATTTACTACTGACCTCGTTGATACTACAACTATGACAACTTGCAGTTAAAAAGCTTCTTAGACCTGTTCGTACACACTGAGCCACAGAGAGGAATATTAGGAGAAGTGGTCAAAAAGCCAATCAAAGAACTAGACCTTAAAGGAAGAAAGTGAGTAAGCAGGTGAAAATGTCTATGCAGTGAATTCCAGAACTTTGGATTTGTGCCACAGAAGGCACAGCTGCCAGTGATGGAGCCAAGACAATTGGAGATTGACAAGAAGTCAGGTTTGAAGAAACACAAAGATCTCTGCGGGTTCTATGCGAGAGATGCAAAGCCATAAATTGATATGAACAGGAATGCTAATTTGAAACTGAAACATTACCAGATGGGCCTCCTCTCAGACTCCTTCATTAACCCCATCAATGTATCTTCCGATTCCTTTCTCCATTGTGTTTAACTAGCTTTAGTTTAACTAGCTTCATCCAATGCATCATCCTCCGACACTTCCGCCATCTGCAATCCGAACCCACCACCAAAGACATTTTTCCCTCCCCACCCTTATCTGCCTTCTGGAGGGACCACTCTCTCCGTGACTCCCTTGTCCGCTCCACACTCCCCTCCAGCCCCACCACACCCGGCACTTTTCCCTGCAACCGCAGGAAGTGCTACACCTGCCCCCACACCTCCTCCCTCATCCCCATCCCAGGCCCCAAGAAGACTTTCCACATCAAGCAGATGTTCACCTGCACATCTGCTAATGTGGTATACTGTATCCGCTGTACCCGGTGTGGCTCCCTCTACATCGGGGAAACCAAGCGGAAGCTTGGAGACCCATTTCAACTCCCCCTCCCATTCCTCAGACGACATGTCCATCCTGGGCCTCCTGCAGTGCCACAACGATGCCACCCGAAGGTTGCAGGGACAGCAACTCATATTCCGCTTGGGAACCCTGCAGCCCAATGGTATCAATGTGGATTTCACAAGTTTCAAAATCTCCCCTCCCCCTACCGCATCCCAAAACCAGTCCAGCTCGTCCCTGCCTCCCTAACCTGTTCTTCCTCCCACCTATCCCCTCCTCCCACCTCAAGCCGCACCTCCATCTCCTACCGACCAACCTCATCCCACCCCCTTGACCTGTCCGTCCTCCCTGGACTGACCTATCCCCTTCCTAACTCCCTACCTACGCTCACCTTTCCTGGCCCCATCCCCGCCTCTTCGACCTGTTTGTTTCTTCTCCACCTATCCTCTCCTCCATCCCTCTTCTATCCGCCTCCCACTCTCTCCCTATTTATTTCAAAACCCCCTTCCCCTCCCCCTTTTCTGATGAAGGGTCTAGGCCCGAAACGTCAGCCTCTCTGCTCCTATGATGCTGCTTGGCCTGCTGTGTTCATCCAGCCTTGCACCTTGTTGTCTCGGAAGCTTGGAGACTGCTTTGCGGAACACCTACGCTCAGTTCGTGACAAACGACTGCACCTCCCAGTCGCGAACCATTTCAACTCCCCCTCCCGCTCCTTGGACGACATGTCCATTCTGGGTCTCCTCCAGTGCCACAACGATGCCACCTGAAGGTTGCAGGAACAGCACCTCATATTTTGCTTGGGAACCCTGCAGCCCAATGGTATCAATGTGGACTTCACAAGCTTCAAAATCTCCCCTCCCCCGACTGCATACCAAAACAGCCCAGCTCATCCCCGCCTCCCTAACCTTTCCTTCCTCCCACCTCAAGCCACACCCCCACCTCCTACCTACCTGCCTCATCCAGCCTCCTTGACCTGTCCGTCCTCCCTGGACTGACCTATCTCCTCCCTACCTCCCCACCTACACTCACCTTTACTGGCTCCATCCCCGCCTCTTTGACCTGTCTGTCTCCTCTTCACCTATCTTCTCCTCTATCCATCTTCCATCCGCCTCCCCCTCTCCCTCTATTTATTTCAGAATCCCCTTCCCCTCCCCCATTTCTGGAGAAGGGTCCAGACCCGAAACGTCAGCTTTCCTGCTCCTCTGATGCTGTTTGGCCTGCTGTGTTCATCCAGCTTGACACCTTGTTATTTCAGTTTAAATGCGTCTTTGCTATTTGCTCCTGCTACTCTCTGGATAAAGATGTTACTCTTGAATTTGTTCATCACTTCCTTCTCTAATGGTCGATCCACAAGTGACTACATTATCTCTACACCTGCCTTCTCAAACTCCTCACAATTTAAAGACCTTTATCGTTTCAATCCTTAATCCTTTTATGAGATTAAAAGCTTAGCCTGTTGAATCTTTCCTGATAAGCAAAACCTCTCAGTTCTGGTATCATTCCATCTTTGCATCCAGCTCCAGTGTCTCTGTAGAGATAGTAAGAACTGCCGATGCTGGAGTCTGAGATAACACTGCGTGGAGCTGGAGGAACACAGCAGACCAGGCAGCATCAGAGGAGGAGGAAAGCTGACGTTTTGGGTCAGGACCCTTCTTCAGA